GCGCAGCAGGGAGTCTCCAAAATAGCGCAGCAGCCAAGTTCCTGAACCAGCATAACGCTGGGTTTCTCCTGGTACCTTCTGTCCCCGAACTGGGCAACGGCCCAGCTTATGTAGCGCTGGGCCAGGACTGAAAACCCACGGCCTGCGTTCTGGGCCGTGCAGATCGAAATCCGATCCACGGTCCAGATCGCAGGCTTTGAAACTGGTTCAGCCCTTGGCCTAAAACGGCCTGCATGGGTCCCTACGGGACGTCCAGGCCCTGTCCAGGATTCAGTTTCCTGGTACCTGGCTTCGAACCGGTCCTGTGCGGACGTATCCGGCCTCAACGTCGGCCTGGGTCCGAACAGGTAGCAATCTGTTCCAAAACAAAAGAAAAGGTCCAAACGTTTTTAGGAGCTCAGCCTCTGGGCCTGAATCTGGCCCTGGTCCTAAAACGTGTACCTGGCCACAAAACGGACAACAGTACAACCGTTAGAAAAACAGCAGCAAATAAATAAATAAAAGARTATAAAAATAATCTAAAGCTGGCGTTTTTCTGATGCAGGCCCAAGTAAGAATGCCATAGGGCCTTCAGGTTGCGTTGACGCGACCTGGGGGCCCTATTCCACCCTCGGGTCCCGTGAGGGGCCCGTGTTTAGGCTTTTAGCATGTAACACAATGGCACAACAAGGACGCAAAACAAGGGGCAGTGAGGCAACAAGGCAGGGAGGCAACACAGCAGCTAAGCAGCGAGGCCACAGTGCAGCCAACTGAGCCAAGGGCTGACAACAGACACAGCAGGAAGCAGCAGCCGAACATAAGCAGGAAGGCAATGGCACAACAAGGAAGCAAGGCAGCGAGCCAAGAAGGACGTGAGGCAACCAGGACTTAACCCACAAGCCAGGGAGGCGACAAGGCAGTGAGGCAACAGTGCCGCAACACTGCAGCGAGGTGACGTTTGCAACAGTCTGCCAACTTGCAACTTAAATGTTCTTTGTTCAGAATTGCATGGAATCCGATAGATGTATTAATAGATGCATCTCGACTCATGAAAGATGTCTAGATTTCCTGAGCATACCCCAATTCATCAATCTCACCTGACCCCAATCATCTCCACTCTTGTCTGAGAGAAGATTACCATGGTTAAAGTCAAATGCGTTCCAACTCTCCCTCTTTCACCTTATTGGATATTAAGGTTAGCTATTTTTCCCATTATAAGATGGAGGGTAAGGGTAAAGTTTAACCGAGCGCCAATCTCTGCTCTGATTGATCATCTTGAGTTGTCACTGTTTTGTGAATATTGCACCCACAGTTATCGTCAATTTCAACCCTTTTCTTCCCCCCTTTTTTCTTGGCCGATCTTATCCTGTTTTTTTTTTTGTTTTTTGTTTTTTTTTTACAAAAAACGGCCCGAGATAATGGTAGGACCTTAGGGGTGCTGATAGGAGCAGACACCACTAGCACTCTCGGAGAGGCTCCATCTGTTGGTGAGGAGCCACACCTGCTGGAAAGAGGGTCCAGCGAATCATTCGATTGAACAGGCGTGCTTGTAGTATATGCGCCGACATTTTTTTTTATTTTTTTTTTACTATGCGCCGACATTTACTGATGAGTAGCGTTGACTGCCCTCATACAAAGGGGATTAACTTCTCATCGAAGCCCTAGCATCATTACCCTGCCCTGCTCAATTCATCTACAGCTACATGGAGTCATGGACCATTCAGCACCATGAGAGGGGGGGGGAGTCATAGCAGGGTCTGGTTTAATTGATAATCCCAGTCAAACCCATAGCACTACCTCCGTAATCTCCCTAATGCAGCACTAATTAGCAGAAACCCCAATAAAAAAGGCAGAGCACAAATAAAACCCCACATCCAGAGTGCAGATTTCTCCTCTTCCTTTCCAACTAGGGTTAATAGCAAAAATATTGCTTTCTCGAAGTTTGGCAGCAAAAATGTCGTCCGTTCGAAGTTTCGTTTGCAAAAATAGATGTTTCGTTGCAGCTTTATCGGGTTCCCATAGTTTGCCGGCAAAAATACCGCGTTTTGCCCAGTTTCACAGCAAAGGACCCCTAGGCCTCTGGCCTCAGGGTCTCAAGG